GCTGTGATCCCGAGTGAGCAGAGGCCTGTATTAACAAGGTTTGGACACGCCTTGGAGCTCGACGGAGCTAAACACTTCACATTCCACTGCAGTGTTAGAGGGAGGGGCTGACGGGAGAGAGGGTTGGGCTTAAAGAGAATAGAGCTGTCTGTGATTATTTCACTCTGGGTGTCAGGATGTAGTCTAACATGCACTTAATATAGTATTGTCAGGATGTAGTCTAACATGCACTTAATATAGTATTGTCTAGTCAGTGCACATGCTATGCGGGTGTTCTCTTATTCTGTCTGTGGCAGTATAGGTGTCCTTAACTCAGTTGAACTTGTAAAAAATAACATATGTGCCATATCTTCAGTTGATTCTTCCTGTTGCTTAGATAAACCCTAAAATGTTGCAGCTGTCCAGATTTGTTTGCTTCTTGCTGTGAGCCGTGTAAATCTGTTCTGTGAGTGTTTTCGGCATGTTTTTTTGCACATGTATGTACATTCCCCCAAAATGTGACTGCTTGAACAGGGTGCAGCAGTTGTGGAAATAAAAAATGTCAACTTTTACATTTTAAAGGGGCTGAGTGCTGATGTCGGCACAAGCTCAGAGGTGACTTTGGTTGTGCCCATCGCAGATGTGGTTCCAGCACACACACACACACACACACACACACACACACGCGCATGCGTACACCAAACACACCCTGACAGCCAGTAAGAATAGTAAGCAGGGTGTGAGCTTGTTTGTGTTTTTATGGCATTGCTTTGCTAAAAGCAGTCATTTATATCGATCAGTAGTTCGAGAGCTTGGATCACACTTTGAGACAGGACACCTAGGAGGCAGCCTACAGCCGCTCGCACACAATGTAAAAACGTTAGTTTCATCATTTCTCACTCTTAGATGCATTATAGTCCACTGTCTTACCGTTCCAACATGACTCAGACGGTTAACGCTCCTCTGAAATGACTGCTGAGCAGGGTTGTGTTCTCTTTGCAGTCCCCCCTTCTACCCACTATCTTCTCTTTCTCTCCCTTTCCTCCCCTTGGTAGCATACAATACCTTCATACCTACTTTCATTTCCTGGGTGTGTGATAACTTGCTAGTTAACTATCGCAGTAATGAGCCAAGAGCTGTTCATACAAGATGCACCCGAGGGCGAGCATGCGCAGCGCAGTTTACATCGTAATTGTTGCTCCTAAATCTTCAAAGAATACGGCAGTTGCAGTTTTTATAATCAAACTAAGATTTTTCAGATTAAGCAAATACTCTGTTAGTTTGATGAAATATCAGAGGATTATGTTTTTATGACATTGGATTTAAAGATTAAAGTGTCCGCTTGTAGTGCAGTCTGAATATCCAACCTTAGATCAAAGTGAGAGTCTGAAGTAGAAACAATCGAAAAGGATTATTCTGTAATTAGACCGTACGCTTTAAGTACCTCAAAATAAAATTAGTCTTATCAGAGGAAGTGATGGAGTCTGTCTCTCTCTCTCTCTCTCTCTCTCTCTCTCTCTCTCTCTCTCTCTCTCTCAGCCTTGTTGTCACAATATGAGCAACGGTGCTGGACAGACCACCGGTTGATAAACGCCAATGTCCCTTGAAGTCACAGGAGTTCTGGGGTCGAGTCAGGCTGGATTAAGAAAGTGAACAAGAACATCCTTAGGGTTATCTGAGAACAAATAATTCACAGTAGTTGTATTTTCATCATTAGAAGAGGTGAGGATTGCTAGACGGCAACCTTTGCCTCACAAAACAAATGATGGTAGTGCTTTCAAACTGCTTTTAGGACGGAGAATGCATTGAGATTTGAAACCGAATACTGTGTTCTCCTCTGCTCCTTTTTTAGACCAGAACATCAATACAGTCCCTTAAGATGTATGTGGTCTGTCATCTTGTATTGGCAGTCTCCCAGAACGGTACCAAGAATCTTGGGTTTTTTTATACAAGCGACATTTTTTCCTTAAGACCACTATGTTTGTTAGATTATAACCTCTTTCAAGTTATGTTTTTCTGATTTTAAGTTTTTGTTTGAAGAGCACAAATTGCTGTAGTTTGTGTGACTTTCAGTGTGCAGCATCATGCATTTGTTTCTTTCTTTCTGTGTGTTTTTGATTATTTTACGTTTTAATTCTGTTTATTCTTAACTCCATATTTATATAGAACTGTCATTGTAGAGCTGTATATGTATCCTAGATATTTTAAAGAAAGTAGTTTCTGTCAGAGTTGACAAAATTAGCATTGAAACTAATTGATGATCTCATGAGACTAATAAAAAGTGAATGGATACAAGAGGCACTAACGAAGAGGGAAATGACTGACAGCAATCTGAGTGAAGTCATAATCACACTTGTTTAATACTTGCTGCTTGACAGGAGAGCAATTAATTATATACATTTAGTTATAAACATGAGCACTAGAACTCACTCTATTATTGATTTTTAGCGAGTGAAAAGTTTGTTGAAGCTGATGCAACAAAGCCAAGTTCAGTGCATGAAGCGACAAGTTGTGATTGTTCTCACTGGTGATCCGCAAATGTCTGTTCAGAACAAGAGACCTTCACGAGAAAAGGGAGGTTGAATAAACCAAGATTATGGAAAGAAAATACAAGGATTAGTAAGTGAAATGCCTCTTGGTGCTTTAGTTGTTTGAATATTATGTCCTCATTCATACCTAATTCATGTACTAAGTGCTTTATTTGTTAGTTAAGTGCAAGAAGATGATCTCTTTCCTTGAACTGCAGCAACCAGTATAAACGTGTACACTGTTATCTATCACCCATAAAATTTCAACCCAACAAAATGAACTTTTCTCTTTATACATTGCCGCTGCAGAGGGATGTGTATCGTTTACCTGAAGTGTATTGCCTCTCCTTAAGTTAATTGCAGTCCTCCCTGCAGCATCTGTGCTGCAGCAGAAGACATTGAACTGTGGGAAAGCCTCTCAAGTGATTGGCAATGATCTGGTCTGAATTGTGAATTAATGGCCACATGCTGTCAACTCAGGTATCAGACTATATGTAAAAGAGGTGGAACCCACTTTTATAAAAACATACATGGATTAAAAAAAAAAAATTCTATTTAGTTTTAAGAGAAACAGGATGAAAAACTTTGATTACATGAAACGACTTTCAAAGAACATTTGAACTGTGTTGTATTCTACAGTAGAAATACATCTTTTGTTCCTCTAGATTGTGTTCCTTTTGTTGCTATATAATATTTTATTGACAAATTACAAAGAGCAAAAAGTGAATATATTTAGATTCATACTTTTGGTATACAATTTGAAAACTTCACCCTGGGCAATGAAATTGCTGTAACTCAACAGCCTGCTCCTCTATATGGCCATGGCAGCCATTGTCCTTTCAATTACACGTCTTGGATCCGATCATGAAGGCTTTGACATTATGAGGCTACCGACGTGGGTGTCGACACTCGACCTGAATACGTCCACTGTGTATCTCTTTTCTCTTCCATTCTCAATCGGTTTTGGTTACTTTCCCCCGTTGCTGCCTCTCAGTCTACTTACATCACACGTGGTAATGGGATTACATGTGTCGGTTTCAAACGCAGCGATGCCTGGCTCATTTGATTATTTTGCGAGCAGGCTGACGTGGAACAACCAGACCTGCCAGTTATTGCCTTCAATTCTTGTTCGATCGGACGATGCAAACCTTGGCGATTTACAAGAAGTGGAAGCATGCTCTGGTTTCTGTCAAAGTGCCGCATTGAGTGGACTCTGGTGTTCCAGCAGCAGCCCTTCAGATGACAACATCGGAGGGGAACCCTGATGACGCACACACCCTCCTAAATGAGAAAAGGCACTGAGGCTTGAAGATGCCCTCTATCATCATTTTACTCTGTACATTCCAGTACAAGTACAGCATCCTCTTCATCTCTTCCTCTCCTCTCTTATCTTCCGTCAAACGGCTCAGCACACCTCCCAAAAGTCTAATACATCATGACGTCTCGTAGTCCAGATAAAGCCTGCTTGTTTAATGATTTGTTAAGCAGGTGTCCTTGACTGTCCTGACCCCTTCTATCCTGTTGGCTTTTGTTCTTGCAAAGTTTCTGAGCCAAACCTTTCTCCCCGTCTGTGAAGTGTAGTAACTCAAAGGACAGCCTTAAATCAGCTCAGACTGAACGCCTTTGGTCACATCCTGAATCTTTAGTCTTTTTCCAGTCTTGCAAAAACATTGTGATTCCTGATTGACTGGCGTTTGGAGAATCAATAGCTTTCTGTGAATAATCTGAGCCGCGTTTGGTTCATCTGTTATGTATAAAGAACTCTTTAGTGTTCCTCCTCCTACACGGCAAGTTAGTCAGTTAACACAAGTGTGGAATGGAAAATCAGCTTCATTACGCAAGCCGGACGAACTTTGCTCTGACACACACGCACAATCTTACAATAAAAAAAAAAAAAATCTATTACCTAGGCTTATCACCATGCAGGCACACGCAAACAAAAGCACCCATACACGCCATCATTCACGTCTTATCAAGTGTGAGTCATAGAGTTGTGTTTTTGCTGAAAGTTAATTGAGCCTCTCCAGAAGGTTTTAAAGCAAATTAAATTGGCTCTTTATTCTTTGCAGTAGCTAACAGACCTGGTTATGATTGCCTCTGCAAGCCCAGGAGGGGTGTGTGTGTGTGTCTGTGTCTGTGTCTGTGTGTGTGTGTGTGTGTGTGTGTGCGCAGTAGTGCTTGAAGGTAGTAAATCAGTGATTGTTAGTGATGTTTCAGTGCAGTTTGTAGTGTGTGTGTGTGTGTGTGTGTGTGTGTGTGTGTGTGTGTGTGTGTG